ACACAATAAACCAATGCAAGAATTGGAACTAGATAAGGTCTTTTGTTCCCCAGTTCTCTCATCGGAGTGCTCTCAGAGAAGCAAACTGTTGATTCCAGGTTAGTATTGCTTGGCAGTGCCTTATGCCGTTTCCGGCTGTGAAGCGTACTTCTGCCTTAATGTTTAGAGGAAAAAAAAGCAATGCCTTGGCACAGTAAAAATCCCTGGGTAAGAAAGGAGAGGTGTTAAAATCTGTAAGGTTTTTCCTATCTTTTCCAAGTAAGCCTGCATAATCAAAGCTAAGTTGGGTTTAGGCAGGTCTTGGTTTTGCTAGGATAAACAGGAACTAAGAGTTTTCTCTGGTTTCCCCCCATCCTTGTTCAACTTTCTACATAGTTAAGGAAATGAAGTGAAATATTCTTTTCTTATTCTAGTAACAGATACTAGCAGAATCCAAATCTGACTGTCGTAATTTTGAAGGGCATCGTTTAAACTCCACTAGTGCATAATCTTCTGAATTGTAAATTATTTTTTTAGCGATAAGCATATTCTCAGAGAGCCTTCTCTAAATGCAAAATTAGAATGACCAATCAGATGTTGAATCCTGGCGAGGTACAGCAGATTGTAACGTGATGAAAATATTGAAGTACTTAGTAAGAGACAGCCACTACGTGGTAAGCTGGTGCGTACCCTACCTGTAGCAGAACTGCCTTCCCATGTCATGGCTGTGGCTTTCCTGTAGGTGACTGAGGCGTTACTAGGTGAGTCCGCTAGAGTTTTTTCTCCCAACATACATGTGACTCTGGCACTTTTAAAGTGGGGTGCTTTGTTTCAGGGTATGTGTTGGGACTTGTAACCCATTCCCTTTGCAGTGACAAGATAGTCTAAACCCATTCACTCGCATGACATGAAGATACCTAAGTTTTTCTGCAGTTTCTGGAACAAAAAACACCTCAGCTTATTGCAGCACAAAGAAAACCTGTAGCTGTCTGTATCTGTGCTAGCAGATCTTGACACTTCTGTGGAGCTTTACTGGAGCTGTCAGCAAATGCAAGAATCTGTCCCTGCAGGATGAATTGCAGCTTGAGTCTGGTGTTAGGAGGGAAGCAGCAAAGCAAGCAGTCAATTTTAAGTGACATGAGAACCATTATTTACCTTTGCATTGGTTTCAACTATTTTTTCTTGATCTCATGCCTCTCTCACTGACAACTGGAAACATATCTGAAGTTTTTGAATTCTTCAACTTAAAGTACATATTCCCAGATCGTATTTTAAGTTTGTCTGTTTCTTCCTGGCTATTCCTGATTAGGATATCCTGAAGAAGCTAGGGAATGTCGCACACTAGTTAGTTACATAGCAAAGCTTTCCATGTGGCTACTTTTCTGCTTTGTGTAGTAAATTTGCTACAATCGTTACACTTTTTTTTGGTTGTTTTTTTTTTTTTTTTGAGCTGCAGAGATTAATCAGACAGTGAATTTCCATGCTTATTTCAGTCTAGGACCTCACATTTTGTACTTCATCCCTCTGTGATCTAGCATTAAAATATGTAGTGTCTGAAAATGGTGAAATAGTAAAGACAAAGATGTTGCTCATATGTTGGACTTGATGATCTTAAAGGTCTTTTCCAACCTAAATGATTCTATGATTCTAGATAAGATGTACAATAAGATGTAGAGGATGTTGGTTTTTTACAGTACTGTTTAGAGCATCTGTCAGAGATCAGGACTGAATTTGTATGTAGCCTGAAATTATAGAGTGCACAATAAAGAGAGCGGAATGTCCAAATAGACATTTCAAGGTTTAGAGAGACGGTACCGTGGGGGTCCTGTTATATTGCCTTGCCTTGTTATATTCCACACTTATTTAGGCTCTTATGCCATATTCTGTGCCTGCTTCTGCTGTGCTTTTCTTAAATTTGCTTACAGTTAAGGAGAGGAATTTTGTGTTATGTGATAATACCCAAATCGGGAAAACTGGTTAGTGGAACAGTTCCCCTTGCATTGTTATACTAATTCTATACTAATACCAGCATAGTCTGGGAGGTTTTTTAACTGCTATCCTAAAATACCATGTTAGATGCTTATGCATATAAGTAAAGAACAGGAAGAAGTAAGTTTGAAGAGTAAAGTATATATTTCCATATAGTGTATATGAAGTAGTATATGTTTCAAGTAAAGTTTAGTGCTGAAATGGAACTTTAAATTTCTGGGCAAATTTAGTGAAGTGACTTTTGAAACAAAGTATTTCATAAGTGGAGTTATTTTTCAAAGCATTAAACTTTAAACTTCTAGAATGGTTACTTAGGGTGTGGCTGTCAGTCGTAGTTCATGTTTTTAGAGAAGATTTGATAAGTGGAATAATTTTATTTCGTCAAAGGTGTGACTTACCTTCATACTTGCCTTCCCTTGGGAACTGTGGTTTGAGGCAGCAAGCTGAGAAAGAAAAGTTACCCAGGAAATACTGTGCAGAAATTGCTTAGTTTTGTGGGTGGCTCAGCAAAGTAGGAAATGAGTTCCTCGTGTTCTCTGGGTCACTGGTGTATGTGTGTCACTTTGGTAACAACGAATAATTACCACTCTTTGACCTCCTTTTCTACTATAAAATTTGGTTTTCTAGTGCACTAATAGGGGTAGAATTAATGAATATGAATGACACACAGTTGGTGGTATTATGCACCCTTTCTTCTTGTAATTTCAGTGCAAGACCGTAAGATTAATGGTCATGGAAGCCTGAATCTGTCTAGAAGATGTTGAATTGTTCATTGAAATTAAAAAAACAGTTTAGTTGAGTGGGATTTTTAATCCATTAATTTTATTTCCTCTTCTGCTTAAGGAATTTAAGCAGAATTTAATTTCTGCATTTAGGAATAAAGTAGGAAGTGTTTAAAAAAAAAAAAAAAAGTCTTATTCCTATGTATAGGAAACAAAGTTCTAAACTTCCCTAATGGCATTTTCGGCCAAGCTTTATTTGGGGAATTCTTTTTAAGTAGGTACATGTTTGTTACAAGCGGGCATGCTGTTTTTACAATTGAAATGGAGTTTTATCTGTGTTTCTTAACATGAACTAGGTAATCACAATCTAAATCATGTAAACACTAGTGTTTGCAATTTCCACCCCATCTTCTGCAGCGAAACTAATCTTATTCACAGAGATAGAGCATTCGGATTTTTATCTTCAGCTGTTTGCAGCGAAGGGCTGAATTGCACTTCTCCGGAATTGCAGAACAGGCTTTTTACATCTTGCACAAAATTTATGGGATCGACTCTGAAGTTTCATTCCAAGGAAAACTTTTGAGGAAGTTGGTTTTACTTACTTTATAATGCCTTTTCTAGAACTTCTAACTGTTTAGCAGCTGGTCTTTCAAGTTCATTATCCTGCAAAGAGGGACTGGGAGCAGAATATCGGCAAGGAGAAATTAATAATTTTCACAGGAATAGGAAAGATTAGAGCAACTCATCAAAGTTTAGGGGATAATTGTAAAGTTAGCTCTATGTGGGGGAAGTTGATGATTTTCAAAGATGATGTATTCAAATTTTTATTTATTTTTCTGTACAGTGGAAGAGAATAGGCAAAACTGTATCTTTGAATTGGAAAGCAATTTCTTTTTTTTTTCTTTTTTTTTTATGTTGAAAGAGTCCTAAACTTTATTGAACAGGGGCTGCTTCTGTGAAACCCATATTCAGTACCTACTGTGGTGGTTTGATAATGCTCTGAGGCGTCCAGGTGCTGTTGCTATAAAAACAGTTATTGTGATGCCTGTTGCATCTTTATAACTTGAAGATGAGACATCTTTGCACTTAAGAGCAGCAGGGGACACTGTTTCCAAACTGTGCTTATTCTGAATATTAAATAACAGATTTAATTGTAAATTTCCATGTAGGAATTAATCAGGAGGAGATGGTTGAAAGAACATGGCATGCTGCTTGTGCTTATTTCTCTGGAGAGATACTAGTGGCAGAACAGTGCACTTGCAAGACTTTCAAGGAGTTAGACTGTATTATTTGCTGTATTTGAAGTGAATTGTGTCAAATGTAGTATTATCAGCCAAGAGAATGATCTGTTCAAAAGTAACCAAACCAAAAAGTAACTGCAGATAACTCAACCAGTAGTCTTTCTGCCACAGGACTCCATCAACGTTTTTTTCAGTTGCGGGTTTTTCTTTTTAAAATGTTTCATTTTAAAATGAGCTGTAAGCAAATAGGATTACAACATATGCAAATAGAAGTCTTATTTTTCTCTTAAAGTTTGGGGTTTTTTTAATAATGGAAGTCAGCCTGTATACTACAGTGAGATTTTTCAGAATAATCAGAATATGGGAGCACTTCATTTCTTTAGCTTTCCTCTTAATTTGTATTGTAAATTTGAAAAAAATCACCTTGGATTAGATTTTCCAGCACAGTGTAAATAATTTTTATCTGCACCAACTGTAGTCTTGGCTGTCAAACTGCCTACGGCCAGTTAACCCACAGGAAGGGAGTCTGTGATACAACAGCTCCTACGTTACTCTGCTTCCTTCCTCCCTCTTTGCTGCTGATGCCAAATGCACGGTGGAGAAAAAAGGTACATGGCAGCATCCACAGGTATTACTCTTGATTCCTGGCCGCCATTTTGGTAACGGTAATTTATTCAAGATGGGTTTGCAACTCAGCCTCCTGACTTCCATTGCGTGTATCTTGGCAGGGGCGGTGAAGCTGACCGAGTATCGTTCATGTTGTCCATGTGTAACTCCATTAGCAGGTGAAGACACTTACTAGAACATGTTGCATTGTAGCTAACGTAGTGAATAAAGGAAGAGGTTGGCAATCTGCTTCTCTAAGGAACAAATAATAGCTCTGTCACTTTTTAAAATAATACTTACTGTGAAAAGTGTTGTTCAGCTATCGTGGTATATCTCAAATGCTAGCTTATGAGACAACTCTTAAGAAGAAGGTATTTTTACATTAACTATAGAAACTGCAATCCTTAAAGATAACTTTAAATAAGAAACTGTTTTATTAACAGTAATTTTTACATTCCTTTTAGAATAAAGGCTCACTTCAGTTTGAAGACAAATGGGATTTCATGCGCCCTATCGTTCTGAAACTTCTTCGTCAGGAGTCTGTCACAAAACAGCAATGGTTTGATCTGTTTTCGTAAGTAATTTTTTAGTATCGTACATCCTTCTGCATAATGGGAATACAGTTAGGGTACTACTTCTGATACAGAAGTCACGTATGACACACAGACTATGTGAGAACACACAGAGCAAAAGTACTAGTTGAAGTTTTATTAAGTGTGCCTACATCACTGTAAATGTGCAAAAGTAGAGTATTGCTGAGATTCAGATCTTTGCAAATAGGATCGAGAAGGAGTAGCAGAGCTTTTGACTTCAGCTGGTCATAGTAAACCAGTTTTGTACCTGCCCACAATGCTTTTGTTAGAATTGGAGACAAACTGTTGTTTACTGCTTTGGCAGTTTGTTCATTTAAAGGCAGTTTGCTGAATGTTACATTATCCTGATTTGAATGGCTTTCTTCTAAAATAACTTCAGAATGCTAGTGAAGTAGCAGGGTAATGCAGTTTAACTGGTATAATTTGAATAGTTTTATACCCCAAGAATAACATATATAATATTTTCAAGACAATGTTTGCATTATTGTACTTTGTAAAAATCCTGCCGTTTTCCTCCTTCAAAAAACCCAGAGGTTGTTTCCTGTTAGGTGATGACTTTTTTTCTTAAAATGTATCATGTGACCCTTGCCAACATAATATGGAAGGGAGTTACAACATATATATTGGAAGTATATCTAAAATAATCTCTGTCTCAACAGTTATTTTCCCTGAAATACAGTTGTAGCTTAAATTTGCAGTCTCTTCTGCTTTTTAAGATCTGTCATAAAAGTGTTTTTTTTTTATTTGAACACAGTCTTGTTGCAGTCTGTACCTTTATGGCTCTTTTTGATGAAGACAGTGCAGTGATTCTTTTTACACCCATCCTACTGCACCTGTCACGCTTTTCTGCCAACCAAAAGGAAAGGTAGTTTTTCATGTAATGCGTTTTAATATCTTATGATGTCATGGATGTAGTAGTTGCCAGAAACATGGTGTAGTTAAGGTACAAATTCAGTTCTGAGTCATTGTTTTCATTTTTAATAACTGGTTTAATAATTCTGCTTTGGTGTTGAAATTTTCCATGTATTATTTTTCTTGTAGCTGTATTATTGAATAGAAGTTAAGTAACCTTATGGCTAAATTAAGGGTTTTGAGGGAGAGGATCCCACTCTCCTAGGTTCCTATTTTTGGACAGTGCTCTTTGTTAAGCTTTTTAATAAAAATTTTAAATCTGTAGGTGTCTTCTACCTGCCCTGTATAATTATCCAGTATTGCTTTCTTTCACTGCTGTCAGGAAACAGTGGCATGCTAAATCCAGTACCACCTTTTCTGCATGTGAAAGTTGTATAAGTCTCAGGAGTTAGGTCGACCTCTGTAAATCCTGGGCTGGCACCTTTGATGTATGTCAAAGGAACTTTTTACCTTATAAGTTTTGTCTTTTCAGTTAAACTAAAAAAGATGCTTTTGTATTGAAATAACTGTATTGATTTAATAGGAACAAAGTCATTCCTTTAGATTATATAGTTGCTTTCCTGCAAAGATGTAGCTTTATTATTGAAAGGAGGAAGAAGAACCAGAGGAAGGTAATAAGTGAAAAAAAGGCTTGCTAGGCCACATTATATATGATGTATGGCTAGGAGTGTAACTTGCTTTATTTAGTCTTTAGTATGGAAAGGAAATGGGAATTAAGTTACACTTGCTGGTCTGTCAGCAAGGAAAAACAGGAATTAATTTGAACGTTGATTAAAACTCAATGCAGTTTTGCTTTGTGATGCTGTTTGGTAGCTTTTCTGCAGTAGGGTTTCATTTCAAAATGCTACCACTGTCATGAAACATTTATGTGATCTTACTAAACTAATAAAATGTCTTTTAAATTACCTGATGCCCCTAAGTTCACATTTCTCACAAGGAAGGTCTGTTTCCTTTGTAATACAAGGATGTTGTAGTGCTTGGGTTGTAAAACTGTAAGTGAGGGCTGCATGTTAATGAGAGTATTTTAGAATAATATGGTCTGAGTAGCAATGCTTCTACTGACAAGTGATTTCTGCCTTTGTCAAGGAAAAGCTTTAAAAATTGTCCTTAATGCAATAAGGATTATTGAACAGATGCTGAAAACGGAATTTGCTTCTACATCTCCTTGTTGACCATAGCCTTTTCCTAGATAGGTTGCTGTTACTTGTTTCCAAGATTTTTCTTATAGCTTCAGTCTCTTCTCCAAACATGTTTTCTTGCATGTGTGACTGGGATCTAGCCATGTATTGACAATGATAGATAAAAAGTGTATTAGTTTCTTAGAAGTATTTAAATTACGACTGTTGAAGCCTCATACATTACAGCATTAAACTTTGAGTTGTTGTTACTAAAGGATGGATAAATTGTTTTCTAGGGACGTACATGCAGTTTGCTTGTGGGATGATAAAGGTCCAGCAAAAATCCATCAGGCTCTGAAGGAAGACATCCTTGATTTTATTAAACAGGCACAAGCAGTAAGTTTTTAATGTTTCATAACTTCTATTTGTATCGTTATGAAAATAACCAAACAGTTCTGACTTCCATTTGATCTAAATGGGTTGCTTTTTTTGTTTGAAATTCTGTGATGTTCTGGAGATCATAATTACCCTGTGAACTTCTATTGACAAAAAGAAGAATTAGCCTTGAGCGTTTGCCTTGGGTCATTGTTTTCTCACAGTCCTGAAACTGGGGTAGGCAATGATTTTTGTGTTATATGAAAAAAAACCCCAAAACACAGCATTATTTTTGTTCATCCAACAGTACTTATGGAATATTCTTCCACTTGAAAACTTCCTGAGGCAAAATTTTCTATGGGAAATTACTGTCTGAAAAAAATTTTGTTTGTCTAGCTTCAGTGCTATGCTGACGTGTTCATGGATGGCTTTAAAATAAGCCATACGTATGGCATACTAGAAATATCTGTGCTGTCAACTCCGTGAGCTTAGCTGTCCGGTTTTATGGGCTTCTCACCAAATGATTGAAATCATCAGTAGATTCAAAGGAAATTTTTGTGTGTGTAAAATGTATAGCAGAAGATGTTTTCTGTAATAAGGGGTTTAAAAGAGGGGGTTATTGTGAGATTAAAAAAAATTTTAAATCCCATGACAAAGGTTTGGAAAAGAGAAAATTAAAGTCTATAAAATCTTTCTTTAGTGAAGAGATTTACACCACGAAGGCTTTGATTTTTAAGGTCCATCAGCTTGCTTGCTTACACGCACAAATGCTGTGCTGAACTGGGGCCTTTGACATGGCTGTTGTTGGCATTGGCGTTGTGCAGCATTGGCTGTTGTTTGAGGGGCATCTTATTAGGCACTATGGTAGCCATTGTACAATGTAGTTGTAGTTTCCAGGCATTAATAAAATACACATGTTAACTAGCTGTCTGGGTCTAATGAAAGGTTAGTAGATGCCATTGAAGTAAACTTTTCTCTATATAGAATATAACATAGTCCTTACAGGTGTTTGTTTTTTTTTTTAAAGGTATGGTTATACCAGTACATGCCTTTGTACCAAAGTACTGACTACTTTTTCGCTGCTACCTTTCTTTACCCTTTAGAAATGGCCCATATGCCATGGGTTGCTAACTACTGCCCTGAACTAAATGGCACTTAAATATGTAGACTTTCTTATTCTGATATATCTGCATATTTGAATTTTATATGGGAAGTTATTTTCAGTATAAGCAAAGTCAATCTGCATTTTGTGCAGAAAATTGTTTATAAATTACTTCTTCTCCCTCCCTCCTCCAGAGAGTGCTGAGTCATCAAGATGATACAGCTTTACTAAAAGCATATATAGTGGAGTGGCGCAAGTTCTTCACACAGTGTGATATTTTGCCCAAGCCATTTTGTCAATTAGAGATTACTTTAATGGGCAAGCAGGGCAGCAACAAGAAGTCTAATGTAGAAGACAGTATTGTTCGAAAGGTAAGTGATAGGTATTAAGAGTTTTGTGGCATACTGTTCTGCCTACAGTAATAGTACAGAAGGCATTCTGTAGCTGAAGATGAAATTGCACCAATCATAATATGATGCATCACTTTGCTTCAGTGTGAGGGTCAGAACAACCCTGCAACTTTTTTTTTTTTTTCTCTCCATGATAATTTCACTCTGCTTCTCCAGTTTTGCTTTGGTTATTAACGGTTTTGCTCAGGTGATTAAAGCACTTCTTTGTTGTGCTTTGGGTTTGTTTGGGTTTTGTCATTGTTCTTTTTAATTACGACTTGAATCCTGAGGTGGGTGGCAGTTGTAAGTTTACCTACTGTTTCTGTACTTGTGAGTAGGCCAAGATCTCTGCATTTTATAAATGACCAACTAAATACTGTCATCTCAAATTATATGGCTATTGATCTCCTAATTTCCCCTTTTTCCTCCGAACTGTCAGTTGTATCAATGAAAAGACTGGACATGTAGAATCTTGTGATTACAATCTTTTTCCTGTTTCATATCAAATACCTAAAGAAAGTCTAGGGGTTTGAGTATGGGTTGTTCAGTGTTCTGAATCCCATGAATAATGGTTCTTAAAATTGCTTTAGTCTTTTATTATCAGAAAAACGGAGCATATCAGTTGTAAAGCGTTAAGTCCTTTAGTTTAATATCATTCACTATGCCTTTTCATTGCAGAAAGTATCTGTAGGTAAATTAAATTTCTTTAGCAGCCTTTCATTTGGTACTGAAGATTACTTTAACTGTCCCCCTATTTCCAGGATGGGAAGAAGAAAATAGTTTGAACTCATTACTTTGGGCAAGGTTTTTTTCTTCACCCTCCTATTTTGACATCTGATCCTCTATACTTCTTGAAGAAAAGGAAGAGAGAACAGCAGCAAAGAGAGGAATCACCACCTCAAGTTACTTTTTTGTTTTCATTGTTTGTTGGAGAAAGCATGTGATCTTACTAGACTCTCTAAGATCTGGCAAACTTGAACTCTTAACTCTGTTGTAGGCAGAAGGCAGGAGAACTAAGAAATGAAAGAAAAACCAAGGTGGAGTGGAGCAAGTAGTGAGGAGAAACTGGGAGAAAGAACTGGTTTTGTTCAGGACTGAAGCTGATGGAGATGTGTCTTATCTCTCATATGCAGTCCAGTTAGGACCATCTCATGATTAGGACATCAAAGCCCAGAGTCCCCAACCTATCTTCTTAATTCATATTCACTGCTGAAGGTCACTTCCTGTTTCTGGCATCATTCTCTGTAGTTTTCTGAAAAATGCCCTGTGAAAACTTTTCCTGTGCTTGAGAAGCTTTTCATATAGTCACGCAGAATGATATGTGTGTTTTTCTTCAAATATCTCTGTAAAGCTTCCTTATCTACAATGTCTAAATGCAGTTTGACCGTGACAAAGCTGTTAATGTGCCTCCCAGGTTGCTTGACACTATCTCACTGTTTTCTTCTCCATTTTTCATTCGTTTCAGGTCTTGTAAATCAATTCTATAATTGTACAGTGTAACCATAATGAATGTGTGTATCAGTAATGTTAAAATAATGAAAAAAGTAGTTGAGGAAGCGTAATCAAATAAAGCTTTGCTTCTAAGAATGTTCCAGTGTTTTGAACAATAGTTCCCTTCCAACACATAATGACTTCAGTGTCAGAACTGGAAATTTAGCTGATATTGAGAGACATTCGTGGAGAAGAATAAAGGATGGTAAACTTAATTCTCATGAAAGGTTATCTGACTTTTATTAGGTGCTTACTGTGTTAAAATCTGAAACTTAGAAAGCAAGAGTGGAATAAGACCATCTAATCCTTACTATTAACTTTGCCATACAACTGTGTCAAGTTGTCCTAAGCTCGTTTTTAGTAAGCTTATTCACAATCACGAGGTGAAGTTTCAATTGGTAAATTTTATGATTCCAACCCGCTTTCTACTGCCAGTGTAGAATGACAATCAGCACGCTTAAACTACATTCATAGCAATTACCATCAGGTTTGAAGACGCTGTAAGTTTGAGCTTTCTTCTAAAGCAATGAAATGGCATGAGTTGGATCGAAAAAATAAAAATAATCTTCTAAGCTTTGGCATTAAGTTAATTAGGTATGCAGTAGCGTATAGAAAGAGCCAGATCCAGTGTCTAAGGGCAAAAAAAATGACTACAATAACTTGAATTCTAAAGCAAATTAAGATTTTTAACGAACATGTAGCATGCTTTGAGTATCTACTACTGAACAGCTGGTGGAGCTTAGGTGGACGTAAGTATGGCCTGACCTGCCTGGTAAGCTTTTTGTGTTGCTCAGCTGCAGCACGTTGGGTCTGGTGATCAGGTGTAATGCAGTACATTTGCAGCAGTGCCGGTAGCAATCACCAAAAAAACCCAAACCAAACCACATAATGCAACATGAAGGGACCCTTTGAGTGTTGAGGATTTTGTTAGGAGCCTCCATAACTAATTTCAAAACTTTGCAGTGCTTAGATGAGGTTTTGAGTTTTTTGTAAATTATATATGCATTACTTGCATATTGAACTTTCATGTTAGATAAATCCAAAACAATCAGGTTTATTTTGCTTTACATAACTGATGTTAAGTGAGTTTTTGGTTTTGTTTAAGACGGAGCCTGCCAAATAGTGAACTATATTAGGATGTTTCGCTCAAAAGTACCCACTGATACTGCAACTCCTGACACATTGCATTGCTGGAAAAGTTACTTGACTAATTACTGAGAACTGTAGAAATAATACAGAATTATGGAATTAATACCTGAATCAAATACTGCTTCCCTAGCTGTCCAGTTGCATAAAGTAAACTTACAATGTAAGCTGAATATTATTTCTGTAACGAGTTCAGAGCAAGATCAAGTTCTAAGGTAGCTGAACTGCTGTATATAACCCAAAGATTACGTTATAAGTTGCTTGATTTCTGTTTCTGATCTCTTGTATTCTTTTTGCACAAACTTAGTCTGCATGTGCCTTTCTGACAGGATTTTTTTTTTTATTCCTGATACACAGCTCATGCTAGATACGTGGAATGAATCCATATTTTCAAATATAAAAAATAGACTTCAGGATAGTGCAATGAAGCTAGTTCATGCTGAAAGACTAGGAGAAGCTTTCGACTCTCAGCTTGTTATTGGAGTTCGAGAATCTTATGGTATGTCTTGCCCTGAATGATCTCTGTTGCCTCCTTGCTTCAGTAAATGAATTTTCATCATACAAAGTTGACGATTGTGGTGGTAGGGTTGAAATGATTATCAGAAATTTTACTGATGTTGTTGATATGGGATACCAATTAAATTATGTTTAAAATCTTTAACTTCTAAGTGATTTAGCTACGTATCTGTTACTGCAAAATCAATGTTTTCAAAGAGCAAACTACTTTTTGATCTTTTAGGGTCGCAAATATAACCTCATGTCTGTGCTCCTTTCCATACTGTTTCTGATTCTTCAGACAGTTTGGAGGAGAAATGCCAAACAGGCTGCATCTAAGACTCCCAGTCGTTGTCGTCTTTGCAAAACAGATTGGTGTATCTGAAACTTCTATGACATTTCACTATTGCCTGCCTCTTCTTCAAAGCTCTGCAGCCTGTTGAATTAAACGTGTGGCTAATGCTCTTTTAGATAGCTGTACAGATGTCCAATTCTAATTTTTTTTAAGTGTATTCCATTTAAGGACTTCATTTATTTATCTGTTTCTCCGTAACAGTTGAGAGAAGGGTGGAAACTTTTTTCCAAATAGTGCAAAGCACTGCTGGGTAGCAGTAAGATCACTGTCTCCATTCTTCTAAAACAGAAAAAAAACCTACTGTAAAAAAAGTCTAAAGTGAAGACATTGGGATTCTAAGAACAGTATCTAAGAAAAGCTGTTTGCTCAGTCAGGTGGAAAAGTTTTCACTTTATTAGGCAGTATGCTGAGCTTTTTTTTTTTCTTCTTCTTTTTTCTTTCCAATTTTGCAGTTGTATGTGTATTTCTGGTTACCACGTTTGAATGTCTAAAATGCTGGAGATAAGTATGCAGTTCCTACCAGTTTCCTATAGTTAATCTAAATGTTTTTGGAGCAAAGACTGGACAATTTTGGTTACCTTTAGGGATCAGAGTGCATTTATATGGTACTTCAAATTGTTCAATGCAATCTTTTAATACAAGACTTGCTTTAATGAGAGAGATTTGCTTATTATTAGTCACATAAGTTTCTAAGACTGGAGTGTGAGTTTGGACTTTCTCTTTGCAGTTAACCTTTGTTCTAATCCTGAAGATAAGCTTCAGATTTATCGGGATAACTTTGAAAAGGCATATTTGGATTCAACAGAGAGATTTTATAGAACACAAGCTCCTTCTTATTTACAACAAAATGGTGTACAGAATTATATGAAATATGTAAGTAAAAATTCTGTTGTAACTTTATTCTGAAAGTGTTAGTTCTTAAAATGACTGCTGTTCTACTTTTGCACAGGCAGATGCTAAACTAAAAGAAGAGGAGAAAAGAGCACTACGATATTTAGAAACAAGGCGTGAATGTAACTCTGTAGAAGCAGTAAGTACAATGTGTAGAAAAATGGATGTATTTTATATTTATATAGAATTATTACATTACATTGCAGTTTTGATTTTTGTGTGTGTTATAGTATTACTTGGTAGCAGTAGATTTATGTGAAACTGTTGATTTTGTGTTTTTTAATAATCCTTTATATTTTTTTTCTTGCAAAAATCTGTATTACTTTCCAATCTGGCAATTTACATTTCTACAGAAGTCTTAATAGTAAATGTAGATCAAAAGTTCAGATTGAAGGGCGGGTTTTTATTCAAGTTGACTTTTATTCTTTCATTTTGAGTCAGGTATGATTTTTTTTTCTATGCTTAACAATGGATGAGAATTGGTATTTGAAAATAAGCTGGCCAACCTAGTAGGTAAAGGGTTTCTCAGTGCTCATTTAGAGTACCTGAAAGAGTTATTGTTCATTGCAATCAAAAGGAGCAATAGGAATTTCACTGAGACTGTTCTAGGTTTCCTCTTAGGCTGAAACATGGCTGTTTAATATAAAGGCTGTTTTTTTCTTTTTTTTGTTCCCCTTCTCCCCCCCTTGAGCAATATTAAACAGTTCAGATTCTGGAGGAAGATTTTATTGCAATTAATAGTTCATAATGGTCTGTGTTGAAATTAGTTCAGGAAACAGGTTATTTAAAATAAATACCCTTTAGATCTGTATTTTCTGCAGTGGATCAAAATGTATTTTCTGTCTTTCGTTAAGTTGTAAATAATTCATCTTGCACAGCTCTAAACTGTAACCTGTATAAAGAGGCTGACAAAAGAGAGGTGGTCCTGACATGTACAAGCAGTTTCTGTTCTACATCTAGCCATAGCGTCTTGTTCAAGCCAACCAGCCTGGTCCAAATAGGGTATGCTGGAATGAGAGCTATTCTTAGCTCTTGGATGTATACTTGGAAACTAAGTAGGGTAGTTGGTGTTCCAAAAGTGATGGCTCCCTTGAGAGAAAAAGAGGCGACAGAAATATTAAGCTCATTACTGGTTTGGAAGAGAGTTTACCACATTTACTAACCTACATATTTTGAAGAAATATGGTTTCCTGTATGATTTTATTCAAACTACACATACTTTTATAAATCAGTGAATGAATTAATTATTTTGTTGAGAACAGGCTAGATTTTGTGTCATGGCAAACTTGAGACAGATCAGACTGTGGTGTTCAGATGGTTAAATGAGCTAATGCTGTGTTTAATATATTTCAGCTAATGGAGTGCTGCGTCAATGCCCTGGTGACATCTTTTAAAGAGACCATTTTAGCTGAATGCCAAGGCATGATCAAACGAAATGAAACAGAAAGTAAGTGAAGCTTCAAGAATAGTGCAGGATGAACTCAGCATCAACTACATAAAAATAGATCTGCTTGTAGATATATCAAATTACTGTTTTTAATAGATGGTGGCAGTGTTTCGTAGATGAAATATTACTGCACGCGGGCAATTTTATCCCACAAAAAATGACCATCATTGGTTAGTACTTTTTAATATCGCTTCTGAAATCTGTATGTACAATACCCTAATTTGAATGACTGAATAGCTATCATCTTTCTAGTAAGAAAAGAATATTTTGTGCTCTGTTATCTTTATTTTTCCTGCCACTTATTTTCCTTGTGTTGACCAATTCTGGTAAACATTGCATGTGTCCTATTTTCTATTTTAATAGTTCAGATGCAAACACTCTCCCTTCATTCTACCCCCACTACCCACTACCACTTGCAAAAAAAAGTGAAGCATCTTTACAAAGCTGATTTTCTGAAAAGCAGGGAGAAATTTTTCATATTCTGATTATTAGTGCAGGACCAATAGGTCAATGAACAAAACCTCTGCAAGTTTTTCATCTAGTTTTATAGCCAGTATGTCACCACAAGTATTGAATATTAGCTCTGTATACCTTTTTAAAGTTTTCAAAAGTTTTTTTAACTCTGCTGCCATAAATTGAGAGGTTAGTGTGATTGAAAAGTCTTGTGTTGGTCCTATATGATAAACCAAACCAAGTCAGTCATTAAAATGTCATCATTCTAAGTAGGGAATTTGAAAAAAATAAAAGCTGAAATCATAGGTTAGTTTTGGTTTTTTGGTTTTGTTTTTTTTTTTTTTTTGAAATCTCAGTATCCCAAAGCCAGGTAATATTTACTAATGTCTATATGAAGTTTTCATTTCTATGCAAATGTGAAAACTGTTTTATGACATTGAACAATGTAGAAAATACTCACTTCTAAAGCTAGCATTTCAGAAAATATTTGACCTCAAAACTATGTTGTACTGATCTGTTCATCTAGCAGCATGATTTCTGGCAGTAGCCCAGAGCTAAATCTAGAAAGCCACCAGTCTTCTTATGAGTATATGTTGCAGCCTTTGGGAGAATACAGGAGGCTTATTTAAATGCAGAGCTTCAGAAGGGTTCATCTATAGCATCCAAAGCATCTTTCTTTAGAAACTTGTTGAAGTATTCACACAGTTCTCTTTCCTTGCAGCTACTGCGATACTGCTTGGTTACAAAATACTTCCACTTAGTATGTAACAACTCAAGCATCTCTTTCAGATCTTTTTTTTTTTTTTTTAACTAGACCTATCTGTGCTGCTTAAAATGTTCTAATGGAGGATGCAGGTGCAGATGACGTAAAAATTTATTTAAAGATCAGAGCTACACATAGTAATATATAAATATGATAGGATCCTCTGCTGTTCTTTGCTTATGCATGTCTCTGGTATTATTGACCCCAAAGAATTTCCTGGTGTTTTCTTTATCAAACAGCATCTGATAAAAAAGGGCTGGGTCTATTCATAGAATCATAGAATCGCTTTGGTTGGAAAAGACCTTTAAGATCATCGAGTCCAACCTTTAACCTATTGTCTATGAGCCGGGCACTACTGTAAAATACTCTGTTACATTCAGTACTTAATATTTACATGCCATGCAAAGGAAGGTAGGCATAATGTTTTCTGACTAAAAACTATCAAAGATGTCATAACTTGCAAACACACTTAAGAATTGACTTAGTGCATTTTTGTTTGTTTATAGTATTGGGGATGGGAGGTCTAAATTTTATTCTTAAAGTACTTCATAACAGAGATAAAAAGGAAAGTTGGCTTTTGTGAATACAAAATGAAAACAGAACTTGTTTAAGTGCCCCAACAACTACAATAAGAATTTCTTTACCTTTCAGCGTCATAATACGTTCTGAGAGAAATTCCAGTGAAATGTTTCTTTTGGCTTTGTTACTTTGAAATCTGTCTTTGAAGAATCTGTTTTTTTCAGGTTCCTACAGTTTTAGGGATGCACCTGAAGTCTTCCTTTGCCACCATTTATTAGGAGAAACCACTGAATTTTTTTTTTCTTGAATTATTCATGCCATCACTAGTTTACAGAAACAGCTGTAGAACCCTTTAATATATCTCTTTGTTTCCTATTTTTCTGCCATCTCTTCCTCCTTTTCACCCTTTTTTAAAGTACAAATGAAAAGATCCAGTAAAAGTTGAGTGAACTTTTTGGATTTACCCTGTGTAAAACAGTGCTGCCATCACTTACAGTACATCTACATTGCACTAAGAATACCTCTGACTCCATTTTTTTCTGCTTCCTGAAATTCCATCATTTAGCCCTTTGTGAGTTGTCTCTAACAGCATTGCAAGTTCTTGTTGAAGGTTGTTGGTAGCTTCCATTCTGTAATTTGCAGTGTTACGTTCTAAAAGGATTTTTTGCTCCTCTGTGCATTGCTTTTCTATTTGGTTCTGCAACAGTTGTTGGTATACAGAGGTTGATAACATATATTTCATCCTCAGTGGTGACAGGATCTTGATGTTGCTGAAAAAAAGTATTGCAGAGGAGAAAACAAAGGCAGGGCCTCTGGCTTTTGTCACATTTCACAGTAGATATAGCACTGAGTAACTAAGCAAATCTATCAGTCTTTTTTCTATGAAAAAAAAGAATCTGAGTCCATGATCAGTTTGTTCTACTTCATTGAGCAGAGTCCTTTGCTGTGTTTAGTTCAGATCTCTGTGGTGTCTCTAAAACAGTCTGGTGGTCTTAATCCAGGTGCTGCTTTGTGCACAGCTTTGTTCAAGATGATTATTGATGTTTCAGTACAGGGATTTTTTGTGTTGGGGTTTGTTTTTTTTTTTTAAAGCAATGTTGAAATACCTTCACAAAAGTAGACAAATAAACCATATTGGGTTTTGAATTGGTAACTTTCAGAAAAACTAAATAAAGTCTTTGGGAAAACAGAAAGGAAAATACGCTTTTTACCTTAGTCAGTTTTGGTTACTTTAGAATTTGGCATGCTTTTAATTAAAACAAAACATTGTAGATGGTATTGGAAGATGCACAAAACCAGCTCTGTTTGGATTCAATTAAAAAAAAAAAAAAAAAAAATCTTGAATCCATAGAATTTCCTGCGTAAACTCCTGTAGGCTTCCAACTGAAATTGGAATCCCATTTTTGCCAGGGCTTTTAAGGCATTTATACTGAGAACATGGACTTAATCCAAATTGCCACTGACTTTAGGGGGTTTTATTCAAGCTTGTGATATTATATGCATAAACAAGTACTACATTGCAATAAATATCTCTTTTTGCCTTCAGAAGAATCTCCTTGTGGGACCAGAATTAGGACAGTATTCAAAACATCTTTCCTTTTAAGGGATGAATTGGATTATCTGTTCTTTACATATTCAGTGTTCCGTTGAGATACCCCTCGCAGAAATGCAGTATATAAGGTTTTTACACAGGTCTTTGACTGGTGGCTTTACGAGTATTTGTGTCTTTCAGAGTTGCATTTGATGTTTTCACTGATGGATAAAGTTCCAAATGGCATAGAGCCTATGCTAAAAGACTTGGAAGAGCATATCGTTAGTGCTGGACTTGCAGATATGGTAGCAGCTGCTGAAACTATTACTACTGTAAGTGAATTGGTTTTTAATAAAATAATAAACAACTTTATGGAAGTTAAATAGTCTCTAATTGTGGGATGTAAATGTGAATGGAAATAATTTTTGAAGATTTTATGTTTACACATCAAATTTTGATCCACTGAAAGTTTTAAATGTCTTTAGAATATTTTATTATTCCTTATATTTTCAGTTGTAGCTTTAAAAGGTGAATCCAATTCGTAGTAAAGGTTACAAATTAAGTGCATCGGATACTTACGTGATAGGAGTGTGTTAGCATCTTAATTAAAGCCACATCAATTTTTTCAAAATTCTAACTTCCTGATGAAAATTGGAAATCTGCTTTCAATCTAAGACTCGTTGAGTGTGGAAATTAAAAGGTTTTTCCTCACTGTTCTTTTTTAGCTTTTTCTCATCTTTTTCTCTGGGTCTAGGATGCCTGAGTATCTGCAGCAATGAGGATGTACCTCTTACTGGTCCTTGAAAACTTTTTTATTTAGAATGTATTATACAATATTTGAAAGTTATATATATTTTTTTTCTGTGTGTATATATATGTTTGTATATTGGAAATACTATCCTGAAAGTCTGTGTTGAGGCTTAAATGCTGTAGAGCTCTTCAGTACAGAGAATAAAGATAAAATGCTCATTCATAAGATGCAGGCTTGAGGATGCTATGTCATTACAGATTAGGAAAGTACATACAAGCTCACCCTGAATTCTGTGAAACCTTCTTTTATTTGATTTTTTGCCTCTAGGATTCTGAGAAGTATGTAGAGCAATTGCTCACACTATTTAATCGATTTAGTAAGTTGGTTAAAGAAGCTTTTCAAGATGATCCAAGATTTCTTACTGCAAGAGATAAGGTATGTGTTTCTGCTGATCATTTGTTTTCAGTTTAAGAATTGTTGTAATTCATATTATAATGTCTCTGAAATCTTTGTGCCCAGTCACTGGTAAATCTAGAAGCTGCTCATGCTCTAGTAAATATGCAGACTAAAATATTGATGAAACTTATTACCACCAACTGATTAGCTTTTAATTTGTGTTATAGGAATGCATAAAGTTGCATTTGTGTTCAGCTCTGTAATGTTGTAGAGCACATCAGGAGATGATCTTTGTGTTGAGCGCCTTAATGTCTGATTCAGCAATATATTTGTGTTTAGAATTTACTACGTATTTGGGTGTAGTCTCATTACTTCAGATATGCAATGTGCTCCATGCAATCCCTTCCTAAGTTGTTGCTTAAAGGAAAGTCGTGTGTTGATGGAAAAGAGGAAAACGCAAAACATCAGTTAATGGAAATTGAGTCATAGGATTTGCACTGTCATATAGAAAATCAAATCAGCAAACTTTGGGCTAATAAAAAGAAAAGGATTCATTTCATGTTACAGTCATGTAAAAAGAGAGAGAAAACCTTTGTGATTCATATGTTAGAGAAATTGAGTGAAGTGCTAATAATCCGTAACTATTTTTCAGGCATACAAAGCAGTTGTGAATGATGCTACAATATTTAAACTTGAATTGCCATTGAAGCAAAAGGGGTAAGCCATATAAACTTTATGTGAATCAAGGTTTTTAAATTGTTAAAGATTGAGCTTCTCTTTTAAAATATCTCTTCAAAAAAGTAATACTGGGTTTAAAAGTGCTTTGTGTTCTTTGCATTATGGCATTTCAGATTGCTCATCAGCCTGTTGAGATGCTCCTCCCATGGCAGTGGATCAGTGAATAGCAGCCTGTTTAAACTCAAATCTCTTTGTACTAATTGGGAATCTATTTTTTTATAGTAGAGTAATGAGTCAATTAGTTAGCTGAATTTAATAATACCTTCCTGGGTTATTAATTCCAAAAACCTGAGCTGTATAGCTCTGCTGCAACTTCAGTAAAAGTCCTGGGGAAAACCGAGGCAGTAATCCTTATGGAACAACCGTGGCCAATTGAGGTGTAGCCATCCACAAGCTGTTTACCACGTCCTCTTGTGCCAGCTGTGAGTGTGACCTGTCTGGGTGTTAGATTTTTGTTTCAGTGCAGGATTAACCAGATTAGTTTAAACAACTTCAGTAGCTTAAGTAGACTTGTGTGACTCAAGAAGAAAAACCATGCTTACAGTAGCCACTCTGCTAACTCAGCCAAGAGAAGGTAGCAGTCAGATAATTGGTGGTTAACATTTAACACGTGATGTGCCACTTGAGTAGGAATCTGTATATATTTAGGTGGTTGGGATTGCTTATATATAGTTTGTAGTCTGATTTACTACGGAAACAAAGCTTATGTAGCTGGGCTGCCAGCTAGCCTTTCCAATTATTTTAGTTAGGGGTGGATGGATATAAATATCTGTTCAGCATTCCGGTTCTTATTCTGTGTTTGGTTTTGGACTAATGGTAAGCCTCAACAGGGATTAGCCTTGCTGTTTTTATGTTACTGGAGGAACACCTTCACAAAGAACTGGATCCCTGCTTTGTGTACTTTGTATAGATATACTCAAGGTAGAGGAGTTTTTTAGGTCTCTGCTAGTGTTTTCATTTCCCCTGGGAGCATCCAAATCAATACCTCATTCAAACTGTGTTTCACTCCTAAAACGAAACCTGCCTAGTCATTTCTTAAAAACCACCATGATGGTGGTGGTCTTCTGTTCAGCATTCTTCTTCCCAAGCTCTTTCAAGTTGTCTACAGATGCAGCCTGGTTTAAGTAAAATGGAACTTCATCCTGCCTAACTTGTGCCATTAAGTTCAGACTAAGAACACGGGATTTGGTAGTTTTTCATTGGTGTCAGAATCTTGAAGACTCCTGGGAAGACATTGATTAACTAAGGGCTCTGTCTTGTAATAACCAAAAGACTAGTGATCTGCTTTTACTCTACATGGTCTTTAGGAGGGCAGAAGACATTAGCCTGCAAGCTGCATCATGAATTAAAAAGAACAAGTTGTCTGAGCAGAGTTTTAGTACTGTTTACACTAGTTGATGAGAGGGTGAGAGAATGAGCAAGAACACTGGATTCCTGAGCATCCCTACAACTTCTTACGTGCTTTCTTACTCGCTGCCTTTGTTTTGGGCCCTTGAAACCAGCAATCAAGTTGGTGCCATCTGATTCTAGAAGTAGGGCTTGGTCCTTGGCGCTATTTTATTCACCAGTCTAGACATGGGTTTGGAATGCGACCTTGTGCTTGCGTGCATTTTGAAGAATCACAGTCTGTCTACTGTAGCGTCATCTTGTTCAACTTTCATCTTCTTTTAATTCCAAGCTGTTAGTCTGCTGTTTATACCTGTTATAAAGCAATTTTATCCTGTTACTACGCGATAGATGTGTTGGGTTTTGCAGTCTGTGAAGTGCAGTGCAGGAGGCTGTTCTTGAAACTTTAATTAGAGCATACTGACAGGACGAGTGAAACGTTTCACTGCAGCCATTGTTAATTCTTTGCTGGAATACTTAATGCCATGCAATATTTAGTTGTTTCAAACTGTAGTTTGAATGGAATCCTTCGTTGTTAGAGTTCTAAAATTAAAAGCACTTGGAATGGTCAAGCTGTAGAAGCTGTCTGGAAGTGTTTGGTGGTATTTATTCTTTAGGGAGTTATTCCTGATTTTTCATTAGTTTAACAAGGATATGAATTCACCACCAGGGTCCTCTGCAAGGATTCTATACGGTTTGAAGATGTGTTGTTCTTTTCTTATTTAGGGTTGGATTGAAAACACAGCCTGAATCCAAATGCCCTGAGCTTCTTGCTAATTACTGTGACATGTTGCTAAGAAAAACACCACTAAGCAAAAAACTAACCTCTGAAGAAATTGAAGCAAAGCTTAAAGAAGTGGTATGTTTTTGCTTTCTAATTCTTGATTATTCTGAAGAAAGATCGGTTTGTTTTATTTCCTTATGTGGGTTGAAGCCTTGATCTTCAAAACAGTTATGCAAGGTGTAATAATAGGGAAAAGTCTATTATGTCATCAAGTGTGTGTTTAAATCTTGTAAACCATGCAGTGTTTCATGTCTCTGTGTCAGTTCACAAAATTAGGATGTGAATTAATGCCTATATCAGATTGTAATGTATTACAGTAACTAATGTTAGTCTAGAAAATAACACAGGAGACTTTTACCTACCACTGTCAATGCCTCTTCTGATTTAAGAGAACATTCTTGATGGTTGATAAAGGAAGAAATTGGAGGTGTGATATTATGAAAGATTCATAGCTGATGTCTGTGATTGCCTTAAGAGCAACTGTGTTAATACTATGTCAAGTAGCCTTCTTCTGCTTTGTGGTCTGCAGTGGCATTAGATGAGCACTCAAAGATTTGTCTGATTGACAATGCAAATAAATATATTTAAAATCTACTTTTTTGACAGCTTTTGGTACTTAAATATGTACAGAATAAAGATGTTTTCATGCGATATCATAAAGCTCACTTAACAAGACGCCTGATACTAGATATATCGGCTGATAGTGAAATTGAGGAGAATATGGTGGAATGGCTCAGAGTAAGTAGCTCGACATCTATCTTTCTTTGGTTGTGCTTATTGCTTGTGGTATTGATCCCCACTCTTGAACTTAGATATCCTTCTTGCTTAGTGAGTTCTATCTTAAATTGCAGGCCACTCAGGACATCTTGTACTTCCATTTTATTGCAATACTTTGTGCAAGTAAAACAGTTTAGCTCTATTCTAAGGGAAACATTGATCCTAATAGCTGTAGTGGTGGATTTTAAAATATTTCACATATGATTGTCTGAAGGCTTCATATAGTCCATATGCAGTGTGCTTGTTGTTTAGGTATGTAAATAATTTGAACTGTGTTCTAATTGTGGAATTTTATGTAGATTAGAATATTATTTGCATGCCTTAAACATTCCTTCAAATCACAGACTTCACAGTTGATTCTTTAATGCATGCATGTGTTCTTCAGCACTTGAATTCTTTAAAACAATCATCGTATGCCCTTGAGGGGTAACTACTTACGATCCATGCAAAAAACCCCTTTATACTGCATTGCAGATTAACTGTTACTGTAAAGTGATGATACCTGTGTACTTTAATGTTTTTCAATTTTTTGAGTTTATTATTTTAAAAATAAAGCTTTTTGTTCATAGTTGTCTATGTCATACTTTAGTGTTCTGTTTATTTATACAGGAAGTAGGGATGCCAGCAGACTATGTAAACAAGCTGGCTAGAATGTTCCAGGATATCAAAGTGTCTGAAGACTTGAACCAGGCCTTCAAAGAAATGCACAAAAATAATAAACTTGCTTTACCAGGTATTGCTTTCAAATAATTTGCTATTTTTCATTTCTCTTAGTGAAAAATAATTCCATTGAATCTTGAGTTAAAAATTATAGCAACTGCAGGTTGATCATAGTCTTTGGGGCTTTGTTACCCCTAGGTTCGAAGTGTCTGTAGACTCTACTTTCTCTTACAGTTGTCACTGGAGCTGTATCATTCGGTTAGTTATTGTGGGTTTTCGTTAGGAGCAATCTTGTAGATACAGACTCCCTACTCTTGTAGTTAAATTCCAAGCAGGGGCTTGAATTGGTATCAGTCAGGTGAATACCTGAACTACCCCCTTCTTCTATGCCCTCATCGTTCTTCATGAGTGCTTCACGCTGTGTTCCTCCTTTACCTGCCAGCAGGAGAGCTGGATGCATGCTATGAAGAGCTCAATCACATTTCTGAGATTAAATTTCACTGATGAGACAGGCTGAGGAACATCCAGTTTTGGACCTGCTGTTGCTGAAAACCCTTGAGCAGTGCTTACAAGCCCTGATGCAGCTTTATAGCTGATGCTTAAGGAGCTCCACAGAGGCAAGCCAAAAAAGCAGAGGTTTCAATCAGTGCTGCTGGCAGAAAGCCAGTGGTGCATAAATAGAGTATCTCAGTGTTTAAATAGGTAGACACCCTGCTACTTTCTGAAAATTCAGACCTCCATAATTGTATTTCAAGTAGAAAAAAAAAATGCATTTTGTTGTTCTATCTGGAGATTTTTCTACCTGGAGATTTGTATAATCCAGTATCTTCTTACAGCTGACTCTGTGAATATTAAAATTTTAAATGCTGGCGCCTGGTCCCGAAGTTCTGAAAAAGTGTTTGTCTCGCTGCCCACGGAATTAGAAGATCTCATCCCAGAAGTTGAAGAATTTTATAAAAAGAATCACAGTGGTAGAAAACTGCACTGGCACCACCTCATGTCCAATGGAATTGTAAGTGTGTCGTTTTCGATGTATCAGTCTCAGTGACTGTACTTTCTGTGTATTTATAATAGTAAGAAAGGTTGTGATCCAGAAGAGCTTATAAGTGAAATTGTCATTCTTTCCACAGATAACATTTAAGAACGAGGTTGGCCAGTATGACTTGGAGGTAACAACATTTCAGCTGGCTGTGCTGTTTGCATGGAACCAAAGACCCAGAGAGAAGATCAGCTTTGAAAATCTTAAACTGGCAACTGAACTCCCTGATGCAGAACTTAGGAGGACTTTATGGGTATTTCCCTTTCTCTTGAAACAGATTTCTTCTTGGGTATTTTTGTACTCAGAAAATACTGGATTAGTATTTTTAAAGTGCTGTCAGATAACGCTTTGAAACTGAAATGTGAACGCCTTTCTTGCTAATTAATCAGTTGTAATGCTGGCTCCTTGCACTACTGTTGAGCACACATGGCCTTTACATTAACACGTTCTCTCTACCCCATGTTCTCTAACTTAAGCTCTTGGAAACAGCAATATCTTTTTTGACCATAAACTGCCTAAAGCACACAGTTACAATTGTGGGTTTTGGAGTGGGACGGGTGTAATTCTAGCAAATCAGTGGTACCTGATATTATATGTTGCTTAAATATTTTCAGTGTTTGTTCTATCGGACTTTTAATTATTTAGCTCAAGAATAAAGAGAGAAATAGTGTAAATCAGACTTAACACCGTTTCTGTAGCCGTGAGTTCATGCATTTTACTACTTTGTATGATTTTATTTATGCTAACCCATTTCAGAAGGAGATTCGGTAAACTCTGTCCCCTCTCTGGTTTTATTAGTATCTTTGTGTTGCCCTCTAGCAGCTTCAAACAAGGCTACGTGATTCCCTCCCTACAGTCTGCACAGCAGTGAGCTAAATTCTTAAAAAGTGATTGTTTTCGTTTAGAAAGTCTGGTGTCTTATTTTCATTCTTACCCCCTTCCCCTTTTCTCTGTAGTCTCTTGTAGCATTTCCAAAGCTGAAACGTCAGGTTTTATTGTATGAACCTCAAGTCAATTCACCCAAAGACTTTACAGAAGGAACCCTCTTCTCGGTGAACCAGGAGTTCAGTTTAATGTAAGATGATGTTTGAAAAGTAAAATAACAATGTACTATTTTATAATTAAAGGAACTCACTTTAAGTTAACCTTCATCCTTGAAAGTTTTCAGGATTTAGCTAGACACATGCTTTGCTGCCCTATCCGCAGTTTTGGCGACAGTCATGCTTCGAGTGGGACTAGATGACCTCCAGCAGCCCCTTCAGACAAATGTTTCTATGATTCTGATTTCTCTGAAATGAAATTTCTTAAACACCTAGGGATGAGGTGCAAAATCGGAGGCTTTGCTGTCTTCCTGTTACTAATGAGCCCATGAAATTTCATGGGGGAAGAACAGCATGTAAGCAGAGCACTAGTGCTGTATTGATTATTATACACCCACACAGAGTTTCAAAAGCAGAATGATAAGTTTAAAAAGGAAGTGAAACTGCTTAATAATATGGTATGCTGTCAAAAGCGGAGGGTTTTAGTGTTGCTTTCAGCAGAGGGGAGTGTCTTTATTTCAGTGAGAATGGCAGTGCTTTTTTACTGGTGCCTAGAAATCCTTCAGAGCATAAAATAATACAAAAAGACACTACTTAAATTGTATATACTACATTCTGCATGTTTTACTGTGGGTTTTGCCTTTCCCTGTTATCAATGACTATGATTAGAGCTGGCTCCTTGCTAGTAACCTTAGATTCTGGGCCTCATTCTCAGTAGCAGCTGAACATCTGGATCTGTGGAGAGAGAGGGAGGTGACAAACCTGCTTTCCTGGGGCTTAGTTTCTTGCCCAGGGCCATGATGTTTGTTCCGATCGTCAGGATCATGAGCTTTGGGAAATTATGAGAGACAGGCTGTACAGAAAGTTCGTGGGTGACCACTGAAGAATGCCATCAGCTTGCTTTGCTACAATAGCTGTTACTCGCCCTTTTTTCCTGCTAGACAGCCATATCTTTTGATGGAAAATGAACTACTCCAATTTCCTGAACTTTGTTGTAAAAACTTCCTCTGAAGAACCCTAGTTCTGTATAATTAAACTGAAATATATTTCTCTGAAATTTTATTCTTTAAAATAGTACTGGTAACTTTTAAGCTTTGGACACTGTCAGTTGCAGCTGATGGATTTCTTTGTAGCACTAGTATATTTGGGTTTTATTGTGCGGAGACGTTGGCATTGAGCTTTGATTTGTCAGCCAGCTATCTCACTGCTGCAGTGCTAATAGCCTATAGATATCTGATATGTGATGGTACTCCTTGCTGCTGTATTTAACAGGAATTCCTTAATTGAAAATGTATTTTTTGCTTATTTTCATACAATACAACTTTTTCAGAAAAAACGCTAAAGTTCAGAAAAGGGGCAAGATAAATTTGATTGGTCGATTGCAACTTACTACAGAGAGAATGCGGGAAGAGGAAAATGAAGGAATAGTCCAGCTAAGAATATTACGAACCCAGGCAAGTAAACTGCCAGAGGAATGTCCAATTACCATATTTTTGTTGTATTATCACTGCTGCATGCCATCTACATTTGGATGTTGATATACGAAATGAATACTTTTGAATCCCATTGGAACTTACTTTTGCTATTTGGCTTAGATCCTTTGTGTGTTTGTGCACTTAGCGTTATCAGCCTCCTGCTCTGATGTACCAGGTCATTGTTTTTCAAGAGGACAAAGCAGGTATTAAGCAAGTGGTGAAGGCACAACTGGGCAGTGGGGGGTGGCAGCAGATGGTAAAGTTGAGCCGCCAACATGAACAAACAGGGTTGTTGATCTTGAGATCTCTTTGACTGCTCTGTATGATGAGTAGAGTAATTTCAGAGATGGAGTCATGCTTTAGTAGTAACGGCATGACTTTTTGAGGGGCCTTCTCTTTAGAGGGAAAGTTTGTAAGTACATCTTCGATGTACAAACTGCAGCTTCCTGCTTTGTGGTTGGTTGTCCCTCTCAAGGAGTCTCTTCCTCTCTCATGAGGTACTCATGTCAAATCTTGAGCTGACAGTTCTAAAAAAACCCTGAATTTTTGGGGCATCAGAGATCATTACCTACAATGGAGTCTCAAAAATCCCATCTTACCTTCAGATGGCAGGTCTCTTCTGTTAGTCAGTTTAGATTCCAGGCTATGCACATTTTGAGTTGTACCACCCAACTTAACATCTTGGCCATACCTCCAGCAGAAGGATTAATGCCTGGTTGTATTTATGAAATGAGAACTCCTTGTGAGTTCCAATTTGACCTAAGCTTGCATTTTGTGAGGTATTCTCAAGGTATATCACAGATCACCCTGGAAATGGCGACTTCTGCTCAGAGAGTGAATGAACATTAGGTTTGAGTGAGTAATTCACACTCAAGCTACAAGATTTAACTGCAGATTCTCCTTTGACTGGACTTGTCTTATAACTCTTGCATCTTGCCACTGCTTCATTCTTTATCAACTTCTTTGTAAAAGCAGTTCAGTATCTACTTAGGCTAAGAAATGCAACCTATATCTCGTTTTTAAGGAAAAATATAGACTTCCTTGCTGTCTTGCCTTACCAGGAGCCCCCTATTAAAGCTGTGTTCACTTCGTCATTTCACCCAGGCATGTCAAAAAAATTGATTTTTTTTTTTTCTCTTGTCCCCCACCAGGAGGCTATCATCCAAATAATGAAAATGAGGAAGAAAATTACTAATGCCCAGCTTCAGACTGAACTGGTAGAAATATTGAAAAACATGTTCTTGCCACAAAAGAAAATGATAAAAGAGCAAATTGAATGGCTTATAGAGCACAAATATATCAGAAGAGATGAGTCGGATATCAACACCTTCATATACATGGCGTAATTTGAGGACTCTGCAGGATGCCGAGAACGTAAATGGAAGGGTGCTTGGACAGACAGCTGCAACAGTTTGTGCTGCAGACAGACTTGTTTTGACTTTCGTTACGTATTAAAATCCCTGCCTTACCTTACAGAGGACTGTATTTTGCCAATCTCATTCAGCTAGCATGATGGCATTCCCTTCATGTTGCACACTTTTAACAGCATGCTGTTTTGTGGGAAACTTGCGTTCATGAAGAGCCCATTGTGACTTTTTAAAGTAGATTTGATTTACACCCACCAGGAAGAATACAGATTTGGGTTTTTAGATGACCAGTACTTGCACAAGGAAAAAATATTCAAATATTCATGCACTGAGGAACTGCAATTAGTTTTGTTTTGGGTTTGGTTTTTTTTTTTGTTTTGGGTTTTTTTTGGTTTTTTAAATGCAATTAGGACTAGAAGTAGCACTTTCACTTTTGTGTTTTGGATCAACAGAGTAATGTACTGTCCACCTTTGATCCTTTTTATGTAATAACATTTGAGAGACAGACACATGCATCACAACTGATATGTATTTGTTACACTTAAAACCTGTTGGCTAGAGCAGTGCTTCAATCTAGTAACTGGATTTTAATAATTGACACATAAGTGACATAAAATAATTCCGAGTCATGGGTGATATTTTTCCTTAAGCAAGAGATTATTGTTTTTAAATTGTTTGCTGTAAACAAGTGGGTATATGTTATTTGTTACCTTATTTGGACAGATGATTTGCTACAATCATTTTTGGGAAGGTGAAGCTTTCTTGAATGATACTTTACTCTAAAAGCAGTTTTCATGGATGGGCCTGTTATACTGAACAGAAATATTAAGTGTATTTCCTTGTACATTTAATATTTGTATTCCAAATATTTAAGTATGACTACATATATCTGAATGCATTAAAGAGTAATTGATGCACAACTCCCCCGGAAAGAAAATAACACTTGAAGATCCCTGTACTAATTCCTCATTGATAACTTTATATATACGTGCAAGGGTAATCCAGTTGGACTGGTTTGTTGCTTAGAAGTCAACATCTTTATATGAAAACCAAACCCTCTGCTTTTTATTTTTAAACTGGCAGGGTAGGAAATACAATTCTAATGAAAATGGTAAAAAGCTAAGGAAAAATACCTTCTTTAGTGTATGCAGAGAGAGTGCCAAATACATATCAGGAATTTCAACTTTTTAATGTTACCTCTTCTGTTTTCAATCATCTTAAGTAGTCGTTTGGCACTGCCTGCCTCTCTGCTACTCTGAAATGTCCCAGCATGTACTGGACTGATAACATGAATCACTGGAGCAGAGTGCCTGTCTTGGGACAAAAGGTAAGTTGCGCCTTACCCGGTTCTGTACGAGTATTCTTCTGTAAGTCGCAAGCGTGCGAATTTTTTTTTTTTTTTTAATTAACCAGTTCAAGTACAACATCTAAAGGTCTCCTCTTCTCTGACAATTGAAAGGGGGAAGAGGATAGAATTAACTTTAGTCAAAAAGGAAAACCTTTCAGTAAGTAAGAGGAGGAGTTTTGCCTTCACATGGTTGCAGTAAAGCATAAAGTAGTGGTTTAAAAGCAAACTACAAGAACGGCTGTTTGCACCCTTAAACAGGCTGCATGCTCTATTGCTAACGTAAATGCCAGTGTGACTGCCTGGGAACAGTGCGTACTTGGACATCCGAGTAAGAAATTGTCGGTAGTGAGGGTTTCGTAAGCAAGAGATGGGGAGAAATCGAGACCTGACCAGTTACAACTGATTGAAATCCCACAGCTTATCGTACGTGCTTTTATTGATACCCCAAAGTAGATGCTGTTTAAAAATACTGCATCTTTTATGTTGGCCCTCTGGTGTTGCGATTCAGAATCAAAAGAAAGTGGTGCTCTCTGTAGTTAATCAGTAAAATGATTTGAACGTTAGAGAACAAAATTCTAGTAAAAAGCTTCATCTTGCAAGACTTTTGGTCTCTGTAACTTAAAAATAATAAATGTTCCCTTGGGATAATTGGGGGAAAACACGACAGTCTGAGCACACTCTTTTCAACATAAAAAATTCCAGCCCTTAACCAGAGAAGAACAGGTGTGAAACTATCACGCAGCAAGAGCTGCAGAGGGGGTAATGCTAATTTTGAAGCCATTGATTCGGATTTGAGAGAGAAGTTTAAGAGACAGCATCTCAGATACAGCTGTGTTGAGGAAGCTGGAGTATACACAGAAAGCAACAGGTTGCTAAAAGCTAAGGAGCTGCACATTCCCTCAACTAATAAATATAAAATAATATGACCTAAACGTTATCTCTATATTTCTCAACACCTAGGATGCAGAAATATAATTGGTAATGTGCCTACAACATGGTCATTTTTCTTTAAATATATACTGGAAATGGATGTCGGGTTTTTTATTAAATCTGAGACTCACACCAGCAAATTTGTTCAAGATGCAGAATCACATTTAGCATCCTTCATCAGGTCACTTTCACCCATATGCACTTAAAACTAGGATCACCTGGGGCACAGGGAGATACCTGGGGTAAACTGTTCTTTTGGGGAGGGTAGAGTTGAGATCTAAATGAAAATGAACTATTCTTCACTTGCAATATGGCAACAACGCACTTTTAAGGCTGCAATTTTTAGCTATGAATATGTATGTCCAAAGACCTAGCTTAAAGAGGTGCTGCATCTGAAAACCATGTTGCCACACACACTGCCACGGTGAATAGCTATGGAATGAAATCGGGTGGGCAGGGAGGGGGGAAATCACTCTTAATGGGTTTAATTAAGAAATACTGTTAAATCTTTCTCTGTCCCAACAACTCGATGAGGATCTCAGTTTCAATTCTGAAGTCTTCCATTTTCCTCTTTCCACAGTTGGTGTCCCTAGCTTCTGTTTTTTCTCATCTATCTTTCATTTGTTACGACTGTAATGCAATTACATTTCCAAAAGACAATGTGACTTTCTCATTTTCACCTTTTTAAACTTAATATAAATGTTCTGAATGTTCACATCTTGCATTTATTTGCATTGGGATGCCATTGTCCTGTAAAGTGCAAATTTTAAAAATACAATTGGCAAAAAGATTTGATAGTTTTACAGAAAGATTTGCTATCTTAAACTCAAACTGTTTTCTATTTTCATCTAAATGACTGGGATGCTATCTTTGTAATTCTTTGAGGTCATATTTGTGAAATAAACAATACATGAAAGCTTTCCTGTCATATACACTATATGTAGTCTGGAGTGTTGAGCAAACTTGAGTTCCTGAGTTGTAATATCTATCTACGTATGGTATTTACAATTTTGAATGTGTGCCACTACCAAGATAATAATGCTGTACAATTTTGAATGGTGGTAGTTTCTGTATGGCAGTCCAGCTGAACTATTTTGGTGTACTGCTTAATTTTTGAATTTTATTTTTTAAGTTGTATAATTTATTTTCTTGCAAAATAAAAATGTAATATAAAAGACTACTCATTTAGCAAGGTATTTTGGTGTCCTCCCCTGCAAAATTTTTCAGCTGAATTCAGGTGCTGCTCCTGAAAAATATCACTGTGAAATTTGCCTGATTCCAAGTCCCAAAGTCTGTTACAATCAGAGTACTAAAAAAAAAAAAAAAAAGTTCTTGTTACGATTTTTTCAAGTACTTAAGCTTTTACGTAGAGCTACTTAGTCTTCCAAATCCTACTGAAAGATGAGCTGTAGTCTTTCAGTGCAAATTTACCAAAGCCTGCCACGCCAAGGCTGGCTGGGGGTGCCTGACTTTCTGTTTATGGCATTTTAAAAAAGGGTTCTGTCTCTGTGTAACTTACTGGGATGTGCTTGGATTGATGAGTGTTCTGGTTGATTTGTCTCTGAAATTCCCTGTAATGAGTGTCACTGAAAATTACTGCTGTTGTGTCCAGATTGTTGGGACCTTTGGGTACCTGATGCTGCAGTAAACAGGTGGTGAGGTGGGAACAGTGGATGGCCCCAGGGAGTGCTTTTACTGTAATAGCTTTTCTTCTCTGATTGTCCTCGCCTTTTAATGAATCTCTTTTTACATTTCCACTCCTTTTTTTCTTTAAGTGCACCAGCCAACATCAGTGATTTGTGCTTTCTGGTACATGCAAAGGTTAGAACTATTTGTATGGAATAAATACCTATTTTTGAGTGACCATGTGGAGTGCATGGCAATTTTCAAACCGGCAGTTCTCAGGGGCAGGACTTTGAGACCGTGCTGCCATTATGTCCAAACTTTTTTCCCCCCCTTTGTTAGGGCAAAGCGTCGTCTTTCACAACAGCGGTTTTCCAGGTGGAGTTGGTCTCTAGAAATAAGCCACTTGTCACAGGAGTTGCTCAGCTGAATCAACTCCTACCAGTTTAAGTTGATCACAGTTCAGGTAGAATCATTGACCTGAATCTGAAAGGCTCTAAACCTGCTTCATTCTTCTGATAAACTAAGAACTTGGCTTTATTTATTTCTTGGCTTTATGTGTAAGCATCTCTCTCTGGGTGTAGGCGTGGTGCCTGCTTCTTTCTTTATTCTAGTGGTGGAGATCTGCTGTGTAATTCTTGGATGCTGTACTCCAGGTCCTGCCCATGACCCAAAATGCCTGCTGGGGAGAAGGGCTGGGGGCTCCCATCTGCTGACGTGTGGCACGGTCAGAGCAAGTCTCGCCTCGAGCTAAGGAAGAGCAGCACAGCGTGGTTGGTCTTAATAGTCTAAATTAGCGACTTTGAAATCAATACGTTATAGTTGTTCTTGGTGAGGAGATGTGCTGAAAGAATTAAAGAAGGGAATGCACTACGGTTTTCTTTCTGTATGCTGTTCCTGTTTTTAAGGCCACGGTCTAATATTAAGTAAGTACAGCTCAGGATTTGCCATCTCTTGCAGTCTGTGATTTCTACTGCTGAAGGCGTTAAGGAAATTACCACACCTGGGGAAGCTTCAGTTGGGAGAGGAGCACTGAAATGTGGAAAGGCAGGGAGTAAGGCAGAAGTATTTTCACAGAACCTGTGACATCAGCACTCGGGCTACTTGATAAAACCAGCAGAAGATTGGTTTAAAATGCTGAAAGAGGACTGGTTCCAGGTGAAGCTGGGGCTGCAGATCATGGGTGTCAACCAGTTCAAAGAGGGTTAGACAAATTGATGGGTAACAAGTCCATAAATAGATAATAAAGGCAAGGACAGACCTTCTAACATCACCGAACTGCTGGGGAAGCCTAAAGAGCGAGCCCTGGCTCTTCTGCTCAGCCTCCAGCAGTGGTTGTAGGGAGTGCTCCCTGCTACAGTCCCTGCTGAATGCTCTCTCCTTGAATTCTTTTAAATATGAAATATCCTGAAAAAATGAATTATCCTGAGGAAAAGGGCTAACTAAAGAGGGAAGGGGAAAATTAAAAAAAACCCCAAGCCCCAAAATCCAACACCCCCCCCCCAGGATTTAAAAAGCAACCCATTGACTAGGGGAAGCAACAGATGCAGGAGGGGAGGAAGATGATGTGTGATGATCACAGGACCAAAAATGTAAAATGTAGGGGAGCATCCAGCAGAGCACCCTTGTCAGTGCCCACCGTCTCCTGCAGGTGTCCAAGCAGTCCCTGGCCACTGCCTTCCGGGGAGGGGCGCAGATCCCACAGGCAAAAAGGTTTCTTCCCTCCTGCCCCTCCAAATTCCTCCTGCCAGTGGCCATTTGGTCAGTGTGAGGAGAGGCAGCTGGCCCCGGGGTCAGGACGGGGAGGGTGTCAATAAGCAGAAGTGGGGGGGGGAAAGCGCAGCCCAAACCGCAGGAGAGTGGCCCAGAGCACTCATGTGCGCACTAGGGAATGCGGGCTGCGATGGAGCTTTGGTTTACCTGTTAAAGGAGTTCTTTCTGTATTTTTTTGATACTGTGTTAGAAGGTGTGTATCCTGTTTAACATCTTCATCAATGATTTGGATGAGGGGATCGACTGCACCCTCAGCAAGTTTGCAGATGACACTAAGCTGGGTGGAAGTGTTGATCTGCTCAAGGGGAGGAAGGCTGTGCAGAGGGACCGGGACAGGCTGGGTTGATGGGCCGAGGCCAACTGTATGAGGTTTCAACAAGGCCAAGTGCTGGGTCCCGCACTTTGGTCACAACAACCCCATGCAACGCTACGGGCTTGGCGAAGAGTGGCTGGAAAGCTGCCTGGCAGAAAAGGACCTTGGGCTGAATATGAGCCAGCAGTGTGCCCAGGTGGCCAAGAAGGCCAATGGCATCCTGGCTTGTATCAGGAATAGTGTGGCCAGCAGGAGTAGGGAAGTGACTGTGCCCCTGTACTCGGCACTGGTGAGGCCCCACCTTGAATACTGTGTTCAGTTTTGGGCCCCTCACCACCAGAAGGACATTGAGGTGCTGGAACACATCCAGAGAAGGGCAACAAAGCTGGTGAGGAGTCTGGACGCCAAGTCTGATGAGAAGCGGCTGAGGTAACTGGGGTTGTTTAGCCTGGAGAAGAGGAGGCTGAGGGGAGACCTTATTGCTCTCTACAACTGCCTGAAAGGAGGCTGTAGTGAGGTGGTTGTTGGTCTCTTCTCCCAAGTAACAATTGATAGGGCAAGAGGAAATGGCCTCAGGTTGTGCCAGGGCAGGTTTAGGTTGGACATTAGGAAAAATTTTTTCACCGACAGGGTTGTCAAGCATTGAAATGGGCTGCCCAGGGAAGTGGTCGAGTCCTCACCCCAGCAGGTATTTAAAAGATGGGTAAATGAGGTGCTTAGGAACATGTTTTAGTAGTGGACAGGTATGGTTGGACTTGATGATCTTAAACGTCTTTTCCAACCAAATGATTCTATGATTCTAATTGTTTTCTTCTCAGAAGGTACCACAAGAACTCTAAAGACCAAAGCGTTGGGGAGCCTCCTTGCAGATGGGATCTGTACCACAGGCCGTGCCCCGACTGACGGTGTGTGGGATTCTGCACAGCCTGGGGTGCCCAGCGTCTGAAGGGAGGTAAGATTATCTTTACTGTCCTTTTTCCTTCTTGTGTGAGCTCCAATAAAGGGCCTATTGATACATCTGGGAGTCCCACTGCCTTTCTGGCTGGGATGATATGAACGCTAGTCCTGGTGCATTAGCAGGCTGCATCCCAGAAAAAGGGCCTTATGAGTGCAGGAGCGAAGGCAATGTACAACAGAAAATGAACTGAAGCAATGTTGATGAATGTTAATTTTACAACATGAAGAAAATAATAATTTAAAAAATTCAGTCAAGGTAGCAAGTGGATGGCAACAAGTTCTTGAGATACTCCTGCTATCCAGATGGTATATTGAAAGGATGCCTCTTGGGATTTGCTCCAGTTTGTGGTCTGAAGAGGAGGGAAGGAAGGCTGCAAGTAAATGCCTTACCTGACCTGTAGGTATCAACTCCAGGGAATGCAGCAGTCAGTCGTGGGATATTGTAACATACGGTGTATTAACTCCTTCAGGAATGAAAAAAGTGGCTGAGGAGAAGGTAGGCAAGACTGATCAGAAACAAACATGGAACTGCTTGTCCTAGACAGCGTACAGCAGCACAATTCACAGAACATGTCACTTTGTCTTTTGAGCCTGTTCTTTTGATATCTAAAGCTCAGGATCAGGAGGGACCAGGCTTTTCCTGGCCTAGCTCCGTGCATGTTGGATAGACAGAATGGAAAGGGGCACTGCCAGACAGACAAGACAGCTGTAGAGATTTAATATCGGCCTTCATTTAGAAATCTAGATCTGGAGGCAGAGAACATGAGGCGGGAAACCAAA